TTAAAACTGTATGGAATAAACACAAGCAGAAAGAATTAGAAGTTCGATGAGCAGCATGGGGAACGCTGAATGAAGAATTATTTCGATATCAAAACACAAAAAATGTTGAAAATATGCACCTGAATAAACATGCTTGACGGGCACTCAAAGACGAAAAATAAATATATGAATTAATGAATAAATGAAATGTAAACGAGTTAACAAAATAACAAGCACACAAAACTGCCGAAATATTTCGCCCTTATAAATACAACGACAATTAGATAATCTCTGCTTGTCTCTCCCTTTTCCTCCCCCTCTCCCCTGCCCCTCCAGCCCTTCAAAAAGTTATTGGTATGCAGACCGCCTTTCTACAAGGATACCTCTGGTGCGTTAAAACGCAGTCGTAATCACAAACACTATAAACTAACAAGTGCTTAAATATATTTGTCAAAAACCATTAACAACATGAAATTCAGAATATCTTCCAAAAAAAAAAACCTATCCTCAGAAAGCACGCCTGATCCGACAACCTACTAAACTTAACGAACTTCTGTAGAAGGGAATCATAAAAAAGAACATTCTATAAAAAAAGCAGTGCCGTTACCCGAAGCATCTGATGAAATGACATAGGTGGGTAGAGTGAATGAAGAATTATAACATCAAAATGATCTGCAGATTAGCTTAGCAGCAAATTTTTAAGAACAGCCTGTTGAAATTACGCATTAGTACGCCAGGACGAATCAATCCCTTTCACTTTTCTAAAACGCCCAAAAACGTAAAAACCGCGCAAAGAAATGTAGCACGGAAAGTAGTGCTGTCTGACTCAACTGGATGGATGCTCCCCCAGGGATGCTGAAACAGATATGAAGTGCTCAGTGGCTTCAAAACTCAAAAATCGCATCAATCGATGTGAAATTAAGCATAAAAATTGGGTGGAAATGAATGGAACTGCAAACAGGAAATGGGTCAGTTCAGGAAGCACGATCACTGTGCTCGGCCAATTCCAGTGCTGCGAGATAATCTGCGATTTTTGGAATACGTATTTTGATCATTGCGGATTGATGAAAAAGGCTGACAGCGCGAACAGTATAAATACCACACCACCAATAAGTGTCACTGAAAAAAGCATAGCATAAATTGCGAGAGATTTCATAATTCTGCCATTTTATAAATCTGTAATTTACCGCACGAAGCGAGTTAATTGCTTTTTTGTCCTCATCTCCTCCTTAGAAAACTGTAAGTACAGTTTCGAACAAAAAACTACAAAATTTGCCACATGAAATGCAGGATGGACGGTCAGCAGAAATATAGGCTTCCAAAAAAAATTACGATACAAAATCTAAATATCTAGGCAAACCCAAGTATGATGAAAATCCGAGGAAACTGATCTTACGAAGAAATCAACAAGTAAAGGAACTCTTTTAACAAGTTCGATCCGCAAAGATCTAGGAGTATGGTACTTTAAAAAACAAGAGAAATTTACTTCTCAGAGTCCTTCGAGCATCTCAACAACATTTCTTGAGAACTAACCAAAATGCGTAATAATTTCTAATTTTAAAAGCAATTTTCCAATAAGCTTCTTTAGGATTTATTTCTAAAGTTCTTTAAATGAAACAAGTTTTTCACGTCAATAATCTTGAAAAATATAAAAATATTTGCCTGTTCTGACGGATATCTGCGTGGCCACAAGTTTGCCACCAATAACAGCAATTCCTGTACAAAGAGCATGACCCAATATACCACCAATTACCACACCATAAACATTTTCACGTGCTGCCAATACAATTGTAGTCAGCTGACTTCGATCGCCCCATTCCGCCAGAAATGTTAGAGTAAATGCTTCCAGAAAAAGTGTCGAGACAAAACTCACAAGTGCATACGTCGAACTGCAACAGGAAAATGTAAACATAATAAAAAGAAAGTATAAAGAAACAAGTAACAAAAATGCACAACAAGACGAAATTCTTGAACGGGAATGTTTCGATCCGTCAAGCCAACAAACAGTTCTATTCAGCACCGAACATTATCTGAAGGCAAGAACTAAGTTTTTTGGTTTCCCCTGTATTCACAGCATACGCATTTCTCATTTCTTAGCCATTCCCAATCCATGCTCTAATCAATTCAAATAAAGAGCAACACGCACCAGACCAGCCGGAGCAGTCAAGCTGAGGAATTGCAAGGTAAACCTAGGTTAGAATGCACCAGACTTGCCGGTAAGATTATGCGTTTTTGTATCGGTATGAACGGTTGTTGCTTTTGCGTTCGCTAATGTAAATCATCGTAAATTTTGCACAAAGGAGATGGACAACTTCCGTTCAATGGTCTTTCTTTAAAAATGACCGAGCTGCT